GGGGGGGGGGGGGGGGGGGGGGGGGAACAGGGCAGGCAGTAAGTGTCCAGGATGGGCCTCACCTAGCAGGACTCAGGGAATATGGGACAACTGAGCTGGGTTTGGAAGGATGAGAAAGAGCTGAAAGAGGAGGAGGGCAGGGTGGCACAGGCCTGTTCACAGCCTCCTCAAGGTTACACGGAGGCTGAGGGGGTGGGGCAGGCCTCAGACCACCAGCATCATTTACATTTGTCCTGCACTTAACCATAGGTGCCTCACTTTGTAATAAACAAAGAAGAGCCTTTGTTCATGTGACAGAAGAAGCCCGGCTAGACACCCCTAGCTAGCAGAGGGAGGGAGGGAGGGAGGAAGGGCCGGGCAGAACCAGTGTTTAGTTCAGGAAGCCTTATCAGTGCCACTCAGTGTCACTTCATATCAAAGCTTCCTCTCACCACATCCTCAGCCGGAGGCCAGGCGTGAGTGGAGCTGAAGTGCTGGACAACAGGCTGCCACGTGGCTGGCTCCAGGACCGCCTTTTGCAACCACCCACATGGCTCAGCCTCTCCCCTGGGAGGCTGGGAGGTTCCCAGACACAACAGGGCACGGTGCCTCCTGGTGCCAGAGCCCATGAGGGCTTGGCAAGAGGGTCCCATATACTTCAGAAAAGGGAGGAGGCCCTGCCATCCCTGCATTGTGGCCCTTGTCACAGCCTAGGACAGGAACAAGAGCTCAGGCCCAGTTTCTCCTGTTGATATGGGGAGTCCAGCCAAGCCCCTAAACAGCCCCGAACATAGGAGTGAGTTTCAAGGATACATGTCAGTGCAGGCCACCAAACTCAGAGGGAGGGGAAGCCCCCACAGGCTGCTCATCACTTCTGACCTCCCCCACCCCTGCATGAACTTCAAGACACCAAGCACTTCCCCCTCACCTCCTGTGACACATGACAGGTGGGTACAGACAAATCAGGACCAATGGTCTTAGGTCATCCAGCCAGGAGCGGCCATGACCAGAGAGGGACAAGGA